GGCGTGAGGGGGCGTGGTCACATTTCCTGAATAGACCGGCCCGCTAAGCAAACAGGAGGGGGTGGAACTACACCTTTGTCTGTGGTGTGCTGAGACGAGGCCTAGACAAATGCGGAGATACCGCCCCGTTCCCCGATCACTGCATCTGTCAGATCAGTGGGCGGAAGCAGAAGGACGAAAGAGCCGTATGCGGCTCCGGAGCCGCGGGTTGCCGACCCCTGGTCTAGGGGTTCACACATTGCCTCTCTTAGGCCTGGTTGTCACAGCTGATTCAGCGCGACAGAAAGCTTCCCCCCAAAAATCCTTTTCATTCCTTATGGCCCCTGTTCACACCTGAACGTTTTGTCGCAATAAGCAAAGTGCCTGTCGCTGGAAAAAGTACATGAGCTTCTTTTTGGCAGATTACAGCTCTTTTTGTCCCATAGAATCAATAGGAACCGTTTGGAAACCTGCGTTGCAATTGGTTTTGCGTGTTTTCTATGCATTGTTTTGCCATTTACATCAATGTGTCACAATCGGCCCATCAAAACATGTGACTTAATGTACGCACGAAAAAAACGCTGTCGCCTAGGTGGGGATCAGGTTGTATCTACTTGCTGTCCGCCCGTTCACCAGATGGATGTGTATGTACGCGCGCGAGCAGAATCCCTCAGTAAATGTAAACAGCCAGTACCGGCTGCTCCATACAGGCGTTTGGGCGGCTCTAAAGCCCACCGATCGCTTGTATGGTAACAAACAGCATGCGCCCCACCCCTCTGCTGCCATGCTCCATCTCGCCCCTCCACCGCCGCTGCTGGTTATCCTGGGCTCCTCTGTCCCCGCCCCCCCCACGTGCAGGCCCGGGATCGTTACAGCGGCTGCTGACACTGTAAATGGAGGAGAGATCAGCATTCTCCCACTGCTGATCTCTCCTCCAATGCTTGAAGGTAGAAGTGATGTGTTTTACATCACTTCCACCTTCAGTTGTCATTTCTCTGGCTGCTATAGCCAGAGAAGAAGCTGGTGAAGCAGATCTCTGCTTCATCAGCTTCTTTGGGGGTCCATAGGTGACATTAGGGGTCTTTCGAGACCCCTGACGCCTCCATCAAGGACCCGCCATAGTATATTTGCACCCCCACATATATATATATAAATGTAAATATGCATCGGGTGCATCTACATGTGAAAATGACGATTACACCACAAATGTTACATATCACCACGAACGTCAGAGTGCAAGCAATAATTTTAGGGCCCTAAAATCACTGATAACACTAAACAGATGAGTGGTAAAAGCTTTTAAAGTGTCTCCTATGGCCAATTTTAGGTATGGTAGTTTTTTGCGAGTTCGTGGGCACGCGCAATTTTAAATCTCGACGTGTTTGGTGTCTATTTACCCGACGTGACCCCGTCTTTTATATTTTACAAAAAAGCTGGGTAATATTGAATGTTTTATAACATTACGTAGGGAAAACAGTTTTTTTCCCAAAATTTTCGGTACTTTTTTCGTCATATACTAAATAAGAAAAAAAAACCAGTGGTTATTAAATACCACCAAGAAAGCTTTATCTGTCCCCCCAAAAATGGTATAAAAATAATTTCAGTATAGTGTTGCATGACGGAATAAACGTGAGTCAAAGTACTGCAGCGCTGAATACTGAAAAATGGCCTGGCCAGGAAGGGGGTTTATCACCCCGCTCTTCAAGTGATTAAAGCTGAACTCTGGGCACAAACATCTTTATTTCAATATATTCCTCAGTAACCAAGAGGATATAAATCCACTTTGTGTGCACCAAATACATAAAAAAGGAGCAGTGACCATCCCCGTGCAGAGAGCAGAGTTGTGGTAGGGGCCCAGCAGACACTCATTGCGGACTGGTAAGCCGAGCCCCATACAAAGTCCGGAAGTGATGTAACGCATAGGGCGGAGCTTACAGGTGCAGAGTGGAAGAGAAGGCACAGTCTGATCTCTCATCAAGCCATTACATTGGACAGTGTATTGGACTTTGTAAAAGCAGCAGGAGAACCAGGGACCGATTGGGAAATAAAACTGTGCTTGTTCACACTTCATTGACGTTTTATATTGAAGGAATTAAAGCCGGCAGTGGAAGTGTTTTACCGGGGGAATTTCTGAGTGACTATTGACCTATATGGAGCTCTAATCTGGGGGTAAGCAGCTCATTTTAAAGGAGAACTATGGGGTCAGTGTTTTTCCCCATAGTTCTCCTTAGGGTAACGGGAGGACACAAACTAGCGTCCTCCCGTTACCCTAAGCTCAGTATACCGCGAGCTACAGCTCGCGGTATACTGAGACGCCGCAGCCGGAGCGGATCCCGACGTAGATGACGGGATCCGCCCAGCTGCGTGAGTGACAGCTGGCTCTGCCTATCTAGAGGCAAAGCCAGCCCCTCCCCTGTCGGCAGAGAGCCGTGACAGGATCGACAGGTGAGCGAACCTGGTATGTGTTCGCTCACCTCCCGATCTACTGAGCCGACCTGTGACAGTCTCATTGTCACAGGTCGGCTAGAACTATGAGGTGAATGGAAATCACTCATCTCATAGTTCTCCTTTAATGGGTGGACACAGTGTTGGAAAGTGAAAAGTCAAGGAAGATTTAAAGGAATAACAGTGTGGAGCTCTTTTTCTGAGGCACAATTGATCACTTTTTATATGTACACTTAAAACAGCATGTTAAAGTTTCTAATGGTTTACTATTGAATATTGCTTCACATATGTATGTATTATATGTACTGTGAAAGAACACTATAAGTTAAGTGGAAGACTATTTATTGTTTTCATGTGTGTTTTCCATATATATAGTGGAAGAGCACTTTAAGCACTGTGGAAGAATTTCAGATTGAATATTTTGTATTTATTGTTTTATAAGCGCTGCACATATATTTATAATTTATGGTTAAAAAGACTACCTAGGTGGTTCTCTTTTCAATGCCTGCAGTTACTTTTATTGGCACAAGGTAGAGTTGTACTGATTACCCATTACAGACTGCCTTCATAAATCTACAGGAGGGGGCGGATACAAGAGCAGTCACCCTGCGCAAGGAGAGATAGCAGAAGTGACTGGTCTGTATGACTATAAGCTCCTGCACATAGGCCACGTTTCAGAGTGGATTACTGCACATATCTGGAATAAGTGCACAAAGCACCCCAAGACTGAAGTAGGAATATACATATGTCTTCTT